CATTTCTCATCTCTACATTTGTAACTGCGTATGTATATACAATACCAAACTCTTCTCTTTACCACTTTCATTTTCATATTTGTTGGCATAGGTCACTGGCGTATTATACGCACACATGTATATGTACAAGCATACACGTATGTACATGCACTGGTTGCGTGGTTTTTTCTGTTGTTACAACTACAACTCTTTTTAGTTTAGTGATACGTGTGAGAATTGAATTGTGTTAGTTTTTCAATGTTAAATTAAAAATTTAAATTTTAAAGCATTAATTTAATTTTGTTTTTCTCTTTATTTTCTTGTACAATATTATAAGTGGCTTTCAAGGTCGTGCTTGCCTTTTGCAGTTTTTTATTTCAAATGGGTATCTTTACTGTTATGTATGTATGTGTGTACATATATGATAGTATTTCCACTATTGACATTTTGTCATGCATTTCATATGATTTCTTTTTTTCTGTTGCTTTGCTGTGTGCTTCTGCAATAAGTGTTAATGACTTTTATGTTTGATTTTTGTAGGTGATTCAATGATATATTTTATTATCGAATATTTTCAAGCACTTAAACTTATGTATGTACGTGACTTTCATATTATATATTTATTTAGTTAAAATGATTTATGTATGTTCGAGACTATCGTAAATTTTATTTCTAGCAAATATAATGATGAAAGCGTGACAAAAAGTTACTTGCAGGTGAGTTATAGCAAATGTATGTAAATGTCTTGCTTAACTAAGCACAGAGATTTGTAATTGTATATCTTTCAGAATTTTTTGAAAGTCTTTAAAGCTGTTACTTGCTTTTCAATTTAAGTGCCTTGAGGAGTTTCATTTTCCAAATATTTTCAGTTTATTTCTCAACTTGATATCTCGCATGCAATATTTTTACACAAAACTATTCTCTATAAATTCATTATATGTTGACTTGGCAACACTTTTAACTTGCGGTGAATTTATAAAAATGAAGTTGCCATTTCCTTCCATTTCACCAAAGTATAAGGGGTGCTTTTTATCTATTTGGCAACCCTGGCTTAAACACCTGACGCACGTTTGGTGTTTTGTATCACTGTCAAACATCTTCAGCACGGTTTATATTATTCGGTGCCACATGCCACACAGTTCGCGTAACAAAGGACTCATTGAGAGGCGAGTTCGGTGAACATTTTATCTCACATTCGGGATCTAGATCGCGATTTAAGGCCCTTGGATTATTTTTTGTGGGGCTATGTTAATGCGAATGTCTATACAGATAACCCCGCTTCGATTGCCGCATTGAAGGACAATATTGAATCATTTATTCGTGAGATACCGTCCGAAATATTGGAAAGAGTATGCCGAAATTGGACTAAATGGATGGATCATTTGAGGTGCAGTCACGCTTAACATTTGCGTGAAATAATCATCAAGCAGTAAATTATGTGGACCGTACTATCGATTCAAATAAAGATTTCAAGCATTTTTTAGAATTGTTTTTTTTTTCCTTTTTTGAAATAATTTCCTAAAGCTCATAAAAAATCACTCTTAATGTTAAACGTTAAAATTAAAGTGTGCTGTTATCTGTTCATTTGCAATCGGCTGGAAGCAATTTTATCATTTCAGCAGTATTTCAGGCATAAATACTGTGAGCAGAAAGTAAGGTGAATTTTTAGTTTGAGTGCGTTTAAAATTTCGGGTTATTTTTTTTTTTAATATTGGTAGCACTGTTATTGACAACTACGCCAAATTTCATGTCAATGTCATCATTGCTATTTTAGTTACGCGCGGGTTTACTAAACGACTAAAAGTGCCTTCGTGGTTTTTGCATCACCATAACGCACACAACACTCATTCTTCGTAATCATTTCGCTAAAGATTCCACGAGTATCGTTCTCCAACCACCGTATTCGCCGGACTTCTGGCTCTTCCAAAAACTCAAGAGACCACTTCGAGGACACCGTTTTGTGCAGATTGATGAGATTAAAAGTGAATTGGCGCGCTCTCTGAAGGCCACACCAGAACGTGACTATTTGACATGTTTCGATAATTGGAAAACGCGTTGGCATATGGCATCGGCAGGGGACTGTTTTGTGGACGACGAAATCGATGTAGAAGAATAAATAAAGATTTTTCATTTTACAAACAAATTCACCTTACTTTTTTGTTCACAGAGCAATTGTAAATTTGACATTGGAAATACCGTCAGATTTTTAAGCAATAATTTAAATTTTTTTTTCAAGACGATGCAATCGTGTGTTACTTGTTTATCTCCTCGAGAATGCAAGAGTACCATTTAAAAAAAATAATGATGACTTGGACACAAATATACCTTTTCTACTGTAAAATAAAAGTTTTCTTTAAAAAAAATTCCGAAAATCGGCATTTGTTGCTGTGACACGGTTTGAGCCCCTTCATAAATGATGAAATTATTATATGATATATTAATGGAAATAAATTAAAAAAAAACTAGAACAAACCATAAAAAAATGAAAAGATAAAAAAATGTAATATATAATACAAATGGCAATAGAGGCATAAATAAATGTACCTGTATAGAGATGTATTCGTAAAGAGATAGACAAGCAGTTAGAGATAAGTAGTAAAGAAATAGAAAAAATTTACACAGGTCTAGCGATTATTAGTGTACATTCTGGCGAATTGATAGGAAATTTAATCCAAATTGTAAGTGGAAATAATCACCTTTAGATAAAATACTTTTGACTGTAGTCAAAAAACAGCATTCGATCTGAACAGGTTTTCTTGAGTTTTAGTAGCACGAAGTATTTAAATAATTATATTATATTAAATAATATTTAAAAATTATTCTTTGTACCAACACTAAAACACTAAATAATTGATATAACTTTATACATAATCGAAAAATTTCTATCGTTTGGTTGACACATTTGGAAATATTAATTTTAAAACAGTTATAAAAATAAATTTAATTTTGTTTTTGCTCGATACGAAAATCTGTCGTTAATATTGAATCGTTAAAAAATTAAATCATACCAATCAGCAATTTTAAAATTAGCATTAACGCTGAGACTGTATGACTTTAACGGTCTCGATTTCATTTCGTTTTCATAACATAGCGTCGAACGAAACGATATCATTTCGTTGAGTTATTTTTCTGCTAGCGAAACGAAGTTATATCGTTTTGTTTGTTAATCATCTTTGCTTTCAGATGGATAATGATAATGGACATTCATTACATATGCGCTGAAAAATCTCGGGTCTAACTAAGAGATGGCGCTTGCTTTGTTGCATTGTTATCATAATTAATTTTACTGTTAGTATTAATCTTCAAAATATGGTTGTTAAAATTTCGTGGTATACTTATAATTAGTTTGTGGGTAATTAAGCTAAGAGCGATACTACTTTCGTAATTTTCAAAAAAAAAGTAAATCAGAATTATGTACTATTTTAGTTTTCCACAATTTTTTCGGCTTGCTAATTTTACACGATTTCGTAGAAACACCAATGGGACAGAACGCGGTGGACGTCCAAAAGAAGCGATAATTCCAGAAACATAAAAAGAATCCAAAAATGTTCAAAAGGCAAGGTTTGGAAAAGGGAAAACATGTCTTATTTGTTCGGTTCGGGATATTTTAGCCACTGTTTTCATAAATTTCTTAATGAAATAGTCACAATATATACTATAAATCACGTTACGCAAAAATGATAGAAATAAGTTGAAAAGCAGAAAATACAATTTTTGAAAATGTTAAATTTACTGCTCTTACTATTTACCAAATTTTAATTCAATTGACTACTGTGTAGTATCAGTATTAAAAAAAAATAAGTCCTACTTCGTAAAAATTAAACCCTTTAAAACGTTAAGCACCCATTTTGGGCAGAGGAAATAAAGTTTGATAGACATTTTTCTCATAAAAAAAATATCGGGTAGTTAAATGATTAAAAAAAAATAAGTAAGTATAAAATTGAATTAACTTTGGACTCATTATTATTCTATACCACTATGTAATTCCAATAGTTGATGAATTTAAATTATAATTTAAGGGTATTGCGATATACGTAATGGTTTTTTAATGACGAAATTGGATGGTATTGATTTGGAAAACGTTTACTTTTAACAAAACGGCGTAAGATGTCGCACAAGCAATGAAACTAATACATGTTTGATGCCCATTGAAGCTTTGTTTGTTGTGAAGCTAAGAACATTATTCGATCCTTTATTGATATTTTTCATTTATCATGCTTTACGATATTAATAATCATGTAAATTTTGAATATTAGGTTTTTCCAAAATATTACATTAAGCCGAAAATTCTGTATCGCTTTTCTTATTATTTCTTCGAGCTGACGTTATTTTACTACAGTCTTTTTAGTCCAGTTCACTTGTAGAATTTTCTATAACTTAGTTTAACACACTTGATGTGTTTTCAGTGGCAATTTAAATTTTTCCCATTAATATAAAAATCAATTTAAACACTTTTTCCACCAACAGCTTTTAATACAAATAAAAGTGAAAGTAATCGCCGAATATCGAGAAAGGCATATGAAAATTAACAGCTGAACGTCAAAAGTCTATAACAATGCAAATTAAAGATTTCTTACTTCCTACAGTGCAAATAATGCTGTACACTCTAAACTTTTATTCAATATGTATGTATGTAGCATTATGTTTATACATAATATACTAAATAATAAGCTCAGCATTTCCTTCTTTTACAATCGCAAGCGTTCAATGACGTAGCAAATACCGATAACCCGTCGACCCATTTGCCCAAATAACCCCCAACCAGGCGTCTTTTGACTGGTTATCTCCCTACATACAAATAAATAACCAAAAAAAAAAAAAACAAAAAAATAAATAAACATAACCAGTTTTGATAGTAAATGAAATTATGCACGCTGCCACATTGCCACATGCAACGTGTTTGCCACGAGGCAAGTTTGTTGCATGCTGATGCTGCATAACGAATTACTTAAGCGCATTTCACTGTTACCGATTGCTCTTTCTTTTTGTTGTTTACATACTTATGTTTATATATATTTTACCTCTGCATTGATGGGATTCAAATCACTGTTGCTGGCATCCGCACTGGACGCTTCCAGTGAGAGCAGATCATCTGGTTGACGTTTGACGCGTACGGCAGGTACCGCGAGGCAAAGTTGACAAATGCCAAGCGCAAGAAGAAGACTTAAACTGCAACGCAGTGACTGCATTGTTTTGGCTTTTTTTTGGGTTTGATTTATGGTGAACTAATGCAAAAGTAGGGTTGTAAACGGTAGGGGGAAATTCGGCGTTGATGAGAATCTGAAATGAAGAGATGAAAATATGATATTTTTTAAGAAGATTTGAAAAATTTAGCTTCTGATTTAACATTTAGACTCTTTCTCAAAACAGTAAATTATGAGCTATCAACCGCGTACAAACAAAGTATTAAGTATAAACGCTTTGAGAATTGTTTGTTGATCTTACTTTTTCCTGTTGAATTATTTAAGAGCGCCAGAAGCAACCACATTTCTATGAATCATATGTTTTCGGAATGAACAATTCTTTTTAGATAAAAGTTTTCCATCACAAAATCCAAATCTCTTTTACAGGGAACTGTCACTAGACTTTAAAATTTTGGAAATTATGTAATAGTTATTCAAAATTATTGTGTTAACGAACGGACCTAATATTTCTAGTTCTGTGGCCCCCAAATATTTTGAATATTTCAGATTATTCGATGATTTTAAAGTGACATGAAAAGTTATTTATGAATTTTTTTTGCGTATTTCCATTCGGAACGCTTACAAAGCGCCAATTAAATGTTATTTTATATATATATATAATACATTAAAATGTTTATTGTGTGCAAAAATTATTTTTTTTAGTGAATTAAAAAATATTATGCTTAGTAGAGGCTCACGGCCAAATTAAATTAAACAGGTTAAAGAAAAATTTTTAATCTACAAATATATCGAAAATTTTTTCATATATTGAAAGTATTATTTTAATAATAACCAAATTAAAAATTATTGAAAAAAATACTCTTTGCAAAATTAATTTAATTTAAAAAAAAAATTGAATTAAATTTTTAAAGTTAGTCCCAAAATTAACGTAAGATTTTTATGTATTTAATGATTATTATTTATTTTATGAATCAATGAAAAATCACAATCTGAAGACTTAAAAGTTGTGTTTTTTATTTAATTAAAATCTTTCGTTCATTTTGGGACACCCTATATCTTTCTGAAATAGCATATTAAATACCCCAAATAATTATAGCAAATATAACAGAAGGGCTATTTTCGTCTTCTGCCAATATTATTGAAATTTTCACCTTCAAACTCTACTACACTTAAACTGTTTTGTTGCTCAGAAAATTCTCTACTTGAAATTTAATGAAATAAAACTATTTGCCATTTTGAAATAGTAAAGGTTTAAGAGTTTTGAAGAGCACAACGTCCTTCTAACAAATGCATTTCATTAACCAAAAAAAAAGAAACAAATAAATAAACGAACTTTTTGTAAAAAATTTGTATAAGTCTTATATGCGTGCATATTCCAACTAACTTTTCTAGAAATCTTATAAGCCTACAAAAATGTAAACAACTTTTTCATTTCAATTACGTTAATTTCGCAAAAATCTTACGTAAAATTTTCAAACCTAAATTGCATTTTTTTTTTTGACTGCACGAAAAATTGCATTCTCCACCAGATAAAAAGTGCACAGTAAAGAAATTGAAAAAATTTAATTTAACTAAGTACATATGTATGTATATGTTGTATATATTTATATGAAGCAAGCTCGTACCACAATATCAAAAGCACACTCAACTCGTCGGCACAGCAGACAGCTACGGCAGCTCTAGCGATACAACAGGACGCACACGATATTAGCACGTTCACTAACTTTAAGCAAATGACTGCAGACGAAAGCGACTTCGTTGATTTAGCAGTGGCCAAAAACCGCTTACAACAGCGTCAAGTACTACAGCGCACAACAACAACAAGAGTTTATACCTTGAAGAAAAGTTTGTCGGCCAAGAGCCGAAAAACTGAAGCGGTGCAAACAAACTCTGGGCTTGTGTATACTCGTATATATTTTTACTACTCATAGTTTTTGGTAATATAACTATATCTTTGTACATTTGTAAATGTATGGGTATCGATGGCCGTTTACATTTGATAGCTGCTGTGGGTTGGTAATTGACAGCTTGTTTTTTATTTTTTTTTTTGGCTTTTGGGTTTTTGGCTGGCTGGCGAATTTTTATTACTCCACTCTGCCGCTTGAAAAGCGTTCAAGAGTAGCGCAAATGTATAAAGAAGAGAAGTGTGAACTCAACTTACCATGGCTGACTAAATATTATGCAGTGTGGTTTAAACGGAACTGGTGGGGTAGAGTGTAAAGTCGGGTGTGTGCAGTTGCCGCTCAAATTGCACGGTTATTTGCACAGACCGTGATGATTGTAGTCCAATAGGTAGCGTTGAAGTAAAGAGTGCACTTGCTTTAAGCTCAACTCTGGAGAGTTTGCGTCGATTTCTTATGCGCATGCGCAACGGTAGCGAAGAGCATAACGCCTTTGAGATTACTATCGCAGAGAATGTAACTCGCTATTCGACTCAAGAGCGTCGGTGTTTAGTGAACTCACTCAATTTGCACTCAAGTATATTACAAATTTTTTATCGACTAAAGAGCATTACCAAACTTAAATGAGGTATTGATCATACTGCATACTCATGTAACTGCGATTGCTGGTAACTTAACATTGTCTTTGGTCATCCTGAAGTCTTCATTTTTAAATTTGTTGTATAGGGGCTTTATAATATAGTTATCCGATTTCGATCATTATCAGTGAAAATATTTATTTGTGTGCAGAATGCAAGAATCCATTATCTTGAAGCCTTTTTTGACCGATTTTTACCCAAGACCTCACATTTGAACGAATCGGTTGCACGGGCGGTATAAGATATAATCCTCTGATTTCCATGAAATTTAGTGGAAATATTTATTTATGGGTACGAATGTTTTAAATGAGGATGCATTTCATCGAAAATAGGTTTTTGGTATATACCTCTGATAGTTATAGTCGTCCGATTCTGATGGTTTTCAGTTCCAATGTGTAATTCTCCATATGTATGCAGAATGGAAAATTTCTTGCTCTTCAATGCTTTTTGATCTGGCCGATCCGATAAATGACCGTTTAAATGCTCAAATTCATCTATATATCAAGATTGGTTATAATATCCCGAAAACTGAGGCACTCGATGGCGTATAGAAAACGTGCTACTCGTCTTTCTGATCATATCGGTATACATTTTGTTGGGTATGTCTCTTCTCCTTCTGGTGCTTAAATACGGCGTACCTAGGCTTTTCCTTTTTTTTTTGCTGTTTGGCGCCAATTAGAAATACCAAGTACAGCCAGGTCTTTCTCTACTTGGTCTTTCCAACGGAGCAAAGGTCTTCCCCTTCCTCTGCTTCCACCGCCGAGTACTGCATCGAAAACTTTCAGAGCTGGAGTATTAGCATCCATCCGGACCTCATGACCTAGCCAAAGGAGCCGCTGCTTCTTGATTCGCCGTATAACTCGTACAGCTCATCGTTCCATCATCTGCGATATTCGCCGTTGCCAACGCGTAAAGGACCATAAATCTTACGCAAAACCTTTCTCTCGAAAATTTCTAACGCCGACTAATTAGATGTTGTCATCATTCATGCTTTCGCACCATATAGCAGGACGGGAACGATGAGGGAATTGTAGACTTTGGTTTTCATTCGTCGGGAGTGGATTTTACTTTTTAATTGCCTACACAGTCCAAAGTAGCACCTGTTGGCAAAAGTGATTCTACGCTGTATTTTAAGGCTGGCATTATTGCTGGCCCCAAAATTTTTACAATTTTTTTACGACTTCAAACTTGTGACTGTCAACAGTGACGTGGGACCCAAGTCGCGAATGAGATGACTGTTTGTGGACCAAAGTTAATACAAGTAAAACATTTCATGTAGAAGAAAGATGTAAAAACTATTTGTTAACTGACAGTTTGGGGCTTGGAATACTGGATCGTTTCTTGAGAGAGCAACGTATATTCATTATTCAGGCGAATTTTTTCCTTGAAGACTTTGTTAATCACCAAATTGGGCTGCTGGAGGCATTATTGTGTAATACTTTACGAAAATTGAGGCAGATTTCGAAAGTAGAGTGCCAACAATGCCGTTGAGATTATTATCCCGATGTATTATTCTTTGTATTTTATGATTTAAAAAAAAATCCCAATCTGAATATCCAAAACTGAATTTTCTATTTAATTTTTGGGACACGTACGGCTGATAAGTACAGATTAAGACTTCAATGTTGAGATTAATTACAAGCATTTCTTTGAAGCTAAGGATAGTAAACAGGCTGATGACATAAAGTTGGTTATATGAGATTAAAGTTTTAAGAAATGTGCGGCCGATTTTATTTTGACTTTTTTTTGATGCCATAAAAGGTTAGTGATGTGCAACTCGACGGCTGGTCTATGGAAATGATGCTTTACCTTCATATGGTGGCCTCATCATCGAGGTCTCACTTGCGAGGCACACGACCTTCTGATTTGACTCTTTCGTTTTGAGCTGGAGCTTGTAACATGCTGTTACCTGAGTATGCAGGGGCTTTCAGTCTAATGTCATGACTGTCTCCGCCCTATTTAGATCCTAGAAGACGCCGAAATACGTCTCAACCTCGTCATGGTGTAGATACAGTTGAGAGGACTACGATTTTGGATCTGGCTCTGAGCCAGGATTGGTCTCAATATTTTCCTGTGATTTCATAGGTAACCATTAAATTCCTTTTCGAGTAAGGATACCAGCTACGGGCGGGGACCCATATAACAAGGGCAAGCCGACAGCATTAGCAGTATTTTTTATCTCATTGTTGCTATAAAATACCTTTCCCTTTGAATTTATTTTTTAATTTTTGTCAAGTAACGCCGCAAATCCTCTTTCACTTGCACTTTTCAGGGGTCCAGTGGCATAGCAGCTACGAGTTTAGATGGTCTGAAGTAAACTGACAACATTTGCTGCTAAATTTTGTTGCTTAGATTTCACAAGTGGATTTGCTCCTGTCGGTATCCATACCCTGAACTGCTGTTTGGTTTCTGAATCATACTTATGGAACCAAGATTCGTCACCAGTAACGACTTTACTAAAGTTGCTAGACTCACCTTTTTCGAATTCGTTTAGAAAACCTTAAGCAAAATGCACCCATTTAAAATATGTGGCACAATAGAGCGAATTTCTTCGTGTATCCTAGATGATTATTTATTATTCGCCATAAAGCCATGAT